GTCCTTTCTCATCATTAAATATATTTTAAATGTTGTGGCCCATAAGAATTCATTTCTACCCTAAAAATATGTGAAGATGAAGGATCATTTTTCACATCCCTTAGGTTCATTTGAGCTTATTACTATGGATTTTTTAAGGTTTTCCATGAAGCGGTGATGTTCTGTTCACGTTCTTAGCAATCTTGCATGCATTTTATGGTCTCATGTAAGTCTTATATTTTTAATTGATTGTTTAATATTTTGTTCTTTTAGAGCTGCTTGCATTGCATTTTAAGTATTTAATTTTGAATTCATAGCTTTATTTAACTATATTTTGTTTATTTAGATTCACGTGTGAATATTTTAGAGTTATATTCAGTCCAAATTTCAGTAGTCTGAAGATGTCTCCCTTACATGAAAAGAATCTAAAGGAAATACTGGCCTTCCCATCATGCCAAGAGAGGAATGTATGCTCAGTGTTGTACGAAACCGCTACTAAATTCTCAAAAATCCCTTCGCACCAAGGAAGACATGTATGAGATACTTGTACAAGTGAATTTTAAACATGTAAATTTCCCTCCAATTTAAGAAAAGCGCATATGGGATTTACCCTCCACAATGCAAGTGTTATTTACGAGTTTTTCCTAACATACTGAGAAAAGTATTTACAAGTTCCGCTCATCGCACCAAACACACTGTAACAAAGTTTTCGAAATTGACCCATTATGTCATAAGTGTCACCAATGAATTTCACTCACCACACTAAGAAGAGTATGCACAAATTCAGCTCACCACATCAAAGACATCAAAACCATGTTTTAGAAGTTTAATTGATGCATCATGAACATCACTTACAAGTTTTCCCCTCATCACACTAAGAAAAATATGTACAAGCTCCACTCATCGCACCAAAAATATTGTTAACAACGTTTTACTAGTTTTTACTTTGTAACGCCATTACAAAAATTGCTGACCAATTTCCCTCTCCACGTTAAACAAACTGCGTACAAGTTTTGCTAGCCATGCTAAGCACATCACCAACTGGGTAGTGAAAGGGAAAGTGAAAGAGTTAGAAAAACATTGAGAAAAAGGGGGGTAAATCTCTCTCTCAATATAAGTTTAGAGAAACAGAGATTCAAAGGTGAGGAAGAGAGGTTGAAAGAAAGAGAGGGAGGTGAAGCAGGTTAGACGGGGAACTAGGAATGGTTGCAGGTGCCAGCAGGAGGCTAGGGCATGAGGAAGAGAGAGACAATAGGGTGGCAAATAGCTTCGGCAAAAGGCGACGTGTGCAAGTAGTGGAGAGGACCAACTAAGGTCAAGCTGGTTGATGGCTACCAACGGCCATTTGCGAGCAAGATATGGCCCCGAGGGGGGAAGGAAGGGCATGTTAAATTCAAACAAATTTTCTACAATTAGGGTTACTATCATTATTTAGATCTTAAATACCTATAATGTATATAATTTGATTTGATATCTCGTGGTTTATCTTCTTTGGCGAAGAAACCATCAACTATGACATGGAGCTTAGTTGATACTAATAAATGATTTTTCGTATAAGATTGTGTACTTCAAAATGATGAAAATACAACATAATCAAACTTTTATCCCACAGTCGGCCACAGCTTTTTTTTTTTTCATTAATTCCTATTAACGGTGAAATTTTCATTTAAATCAAATAATAAAAAAAAAGATTATTTCTAATGCTTTCTAACCAAGTCTTTTTGGGTCTACCTCGATCGTTCTTAATATAGGCTAGATTAACACATCTAATCTCCTAACTGGGTCATCAAAAGGTATGTGACCCCACCATCTAAGGCAACTCTCTCTAATCTTACATGTCATTGGAGTTACTCTAACCTTTTATCACGTAAATAATTATTTCACATTCTATCTCTAAGAGTAAAGCCACTCATCCACCTGAGCATCATCATCTCAACAATAATTAACTTAATTATATGCTTCTCTTTTAATGGTCAACATTCCATGTCATAAAGCATTGCAAGTTTCACCACCATCTTATAGAATTTTCTCTTAAGTTTAAGAGGTACTTTTCTATCACACAACGACCCAAAGCATTCCTCCACTTCAACCACCCAACTTGAATTCTACTAATAATATCCATCTATTTCATCATCACTTTGAGCAATAGACTCGAGATATCTAAAAAGTATACTTATTTTAATGACATAATCGCTAAAAGTCACAATCCCTCCACTAGATCTATTACTGCTAAAATTACACTCCAAACAAAAACCTTTATACTCTAAAGTTGACCTTTATAATTCAAGTTTTCCTGCAACTCCATCACTAGTTTTATCAACAAGAAGAACATCATCAGCAAAAAGCATCCCCTTGCAAATGTCTAATAAAAACATCCATGACTAAAACAAAAAAGATATGGGCTTAAATTTGATCCTTGATGTAATCCGCTGAAATAGAAAAATGATTGGTCAAACCACCTTATGTTTGAACACAAGTAACTGCTCCCACATATATATATATGTTTAATGAATTGAATATAAGCATTATTAACTCCTTTTTCCCTAAACTCTCCAAAGCACTTCTCTTGAAACTTTATCATATGTTTTCTCTAAATCAATAAATATCATATGTAGATCCTCCTTATTCTATCTATACTTCTCCATTAAACCTCTCAATAAATGAATAACTTCCATACCCGAACCCGACCTGGTTCGGGTTGACCCGAACCCAAAATTTTCGTGTCGGGTTCGAGTCGAGTTTTCGAGTCGTGTCAAATATTGACACCCCTAGTCATAGCCTCTGCTTAATTTTGATGTATGGCACATTAACTTGGTTCCTCTATAATCCGCACACTCATGTGCATCATCTTTATTCTTAAAAATAGGAACCAACACTCCTACACTCATTTGACATCTTTTTTTCTTTAAAATAATATTAAAAAGTTTAATAAACCAAGAAATTATATTATCCCCTAAGCATTTTTCACACCTCTATCAGAATATCATCAAGTCCAACTATGTTTCTACACTTCATTTTGTTAAACCTCTCTAATTTCGATGTTACTAATACAACGTTAAAAGCAACAATATCTATTTTTCATTTAAGGTGTTAAGATCATTAAAGTCAATCGTATTCTCACAATCTTCATTAAAAATTTTATAGAAATATCACATCCACCTATGTTGAATATCCTCTTCTAATCAAAAGCACTTTTTGATATTCATCCTTAATATATTTAATTTAAACTAGATTCTTACTTCTTTTATCTCTTTGTTTCACTAACTTATACATACATCTTTCAGCCTTTATTAATATCTAATATATTGTATAAATAATCAAAAGCTAAATTCTTTACATCGTATATTATTTCCTTAGACTTCTTACGGACCCTTTATATATTTCCTAATTTTTAGAGATTTTATATCTAAATCAATTATATAACAAAGCTTCTTATTTTTATCTTTTCTTGCACATTTTAACTCCACCACCATCTAATTTTATTATTATGAGCTTTTTCTTTTGATACTCGCAAACACTTCACAACAATCTTAATATCACTAGTAATTTTTTCTCACATAACATTAGTTTTATTATGCAAAATCAAAATCTTGAGATCTTAAATTTTACGGTCAAAATTACTTTTATTAGCATTTTTTAATTGCCCTCATCTAATCCTATGACAACTTTATACTTTATTTTTTCAACTTCTCCCCTTCATCTTAAAATACAAAACTAATAAGTGATGCTGAGTACATAAACTTTCACTCAAAATGATTTTACAATCTACGCAATCTAAACGATTTATTTCTCTCATAAAAAAATAATCAATATGAGTTTTATTAAATCTATTCTTATGAGTGATGAGATGTCATCTCTTTTCTTAAATAAGGTATTAACAATTCTAATATCATAAGATAAAATCTAATAGTCGCTCTAAACCCATAAGCATCATAAATATTTTTAAAATCATCTACCACTTTACAAAAATGTCCATTTAAATCTCCTATAATAAAAACTTTCTTCAAAAGTATCATTTACATTAATTCTCTAAGTTATTCAAAATTTTAATTTTGAACACATATTCAGACCTACTTGAGAAGCATAAGTACTTATAATATTAATAATCTTAACATCAACAACAATTTTAAAATTATAATTCCATCTCAAATTTTATTGATTTTTACAATATTATCCTTCAAAATCTTCCCCACATAGTGGAACAAAGGCTTGATGTTGTTGTTGTATCCTTCAAAATCTTATCTATAACCACACCTACACTATTTTAAGTACAACTTCTACCTGTATACCATAGTTTAACTCTTAAATTATCAATCTCCTTAGCTTTTGCTCCAACCTATTTAACTTCCCGAATGCATTTATCTTCATATGAATCATAATATCTATTAATTTCATTAATTTTCTTGAAAGAGAATCTAATGTAGATCTAATAAATCTTGCCTCATGAAAAATCCTAAATATTTTATTTGATTGTTCTTCTTGTTTTACATTAAGTCCACCTCTAAAACTGTAGGGTTTGATATGTCTTCTATCATAAAGTTTATAGTTAAATTGGATAATTATTGCAACACTAATATACATTAATAAATATTATGTGAACTTAATAAGATAAATTTAAAAAAGTTACATGTTAACTGGCCATATTGTATAGTTCTATGGATCTATTTGATGCAGCTTTATCACTAATTTTCTTCACAAATTATTGTCACACATCTGTTTGACTAATGCTTTCTTACCATTTTTTAAAAAATTTTGTGCTGAGAAGCTACTTTTAAGAACTAAATTTATAACCACCTTTATAAAAAGTCGCAGCTACCCAAAAAAATCCCTAAGACCAAAAAGGCATAACTCGAAATCAAATGTTGTAGGGTGAGAATGTTAAAATTGTCAGTAAAATAAAAAATAAATAATACAAAGATTACTATATTAAAGAGATGGTAAAAGTGGCAAATTTTGAAGACAAAGATAATGAAAAATGAGGAATAAGCAAATAGCCATTGAGAACATGTCATATGAATAACCTGAATCTGCAATTGTCGTTGTCTTGATGCCCATTCTTCTTCTGCAGCTCGTTTATACTCATCTGTTTCCTTATGCCTTTCACGTTCACCAATTAAACTCTCATAGCCATGAGGCATATCATCAGGTTTGTGTGAAGTCAGTCCCATATCAGTTATTGCAGACACTGCATTTACTTTTTTTCCCATTTTAGCATTCACATCACCACAGATGGTAAAATTTTGAGTTTTGATCCGTGGTTCTTCATGTTGCCGACTACAAGATGGTGAGAACCCTTCATAATCTCTCATTTTACTCTCTTCAAAGTTAGAAGCTACACGTTTATCTGCCATCACATGGTTTGCTTGATCACTATGAGAAACTTCATCAAGTTTATGCTCCGCTCTGTCTGGACAGAGATCATTGTCTTTTGATACATGCTTCCCATCCCACGTAGAAGACTCATAAGAAGGCTCCTCATTGTCAAAGAATCTTGTTGTTCCATGACTTTTATAGTTAAATAAAGAAGCTTTTACAGGCTCTTGTGCATCCTTATTGATAAAACTAAGACCATCATCCATTGAATGAGCTGTTTGTGGATACTCTCCTAGGTTTGACTCATCATCTTCCCTCCTCGTACCTGATTCTTCACAAGGAATATGACTACTGGAGCATGATTGTGGAACAAATATGTTAGCTTTATCTTTGAAATAAAGATCTTCATTTTCATCAGTAGGAAGTACGTTAGCTGAGGAGCTCTGTTTAGCATTGTTTGAACTTGGGCCAAATTTTGCAAGTATTTCATCAATATAATTAAATGGCGTTCTTTTAAAACAACATGCAACATCTGCATTATGTAGTGTTGGTGCATGGAATGGATCTTCAGAATAAATAGTTGAGTCAGGTGCATTAGCCTGGTCCGTAGAAGGTACATGTTTATCTGCCATCACATGTTTTGCTTGAGCATTATGAGAAACTTCATCAAGTTTATGCTCTACTCTGTCTGTACAGAGATCATTATCTTTTGATACATGCTTCCCGGCCCAAGTAGAAGAATCATAGGATGTTCTAGTAGAAGGCTCCTCATTGTCAAATAATCTTGTTTTTCCGTGGCTTTTACAGGTAAATAAAAAAGCTTTTACAGGCTCTTGTGCATCCTTATTGATAAAACTAAGACCATCATCCATTGAATGAGTTGTTTTTGGATACTCTCCTAAGTTTGACTCGTCTAATTCCCTCCTGGTACCTGATTCTTCACAAGGAATATGACTACTGGAGCATGATTGTGGAACAAACATGTTAGCTTTATCTTTGAAATAAAAATCTTCATTTTCATAAGTAGGAAGTACATTATCTGAGGGGCTCTGTTTAGCATTCTTTGAACTTGGGCCAAATTTTGCAAGTATTTCATCAATATAATTAAATGACGTTCTTTTAAAACAACATGCAACATCTGCATTATATAGTGTTGGTGCATGGAATGGATCTTCAGAATAAATAGTTGAGTCAGGTGCATTAGCCTGGTCCGTCGAAGCAAATTGACCACTTTCCTTCTTCCTTGATGCAGCCTTTTCCCACTGTTCACGAATAACTCCTAAATGATCTTCCATTATCTCACAATCAGAATTGCTACAATCAAATTCATCGCATTCATCTGTATTATATTTCAGACTATTACTTTGAGTCATGCTATCCTCGGAATCAAGATCTAAGCCATAACGGTTTCGGGAAGGACCAGTGTTATCACAACAGACATTTCCATTTCCAAACATAGGATATTCATCACTTTCTGAGTCGTCAGACAAAGACAAGCTGTAAAATGTTTCAGCAAACTGATTGCTTGTAGTAGTGTCAGTAGATGAATTTCTAGGATCTTCCCCTTCATCATCGATATAAATAACACCTCTAGGTGAACAATTCAATCTTGTTGTCTTTGCATGCTTTGATCCCTTACGAGACGTATTTGGATTGTCAATTAGAACAACATCAGCATTTTCTGTATCATCATCAATGATGATTGCATCTTCAATATTTCCCTTGTTTTGGCATCTTCGTAGTATTCTCCTTGCGGATTGACTCCTTGGCCGAGGCTGGCCCCTTGACATACTCTTTCAAATGCAACTATCTTCTAAATGTAACAGCTAAGCTCTCCCCAGAATTTAAAAAACCATTTTTCCTTGATACCGCATCATGAAAGCAACTCTCTGGATCATATATCAAACAGAGGTTTTAGCTGAGAATCATCAAAAGGCAATATCAGCAAATAAGAATACTTTGCATGCAAAAAGGATAAATTGTGAAAGAGGTTAATCAACAAATACAACATAGCTTAAATATACCTAGATAGAAACCAGTTCCAATGAATAAGCTATAAGCTGAAAGCTTTATGCCCATGTTCGTACACGTTTAGGGGAGGTGGGCGAGAAGCAAATGGGAATTTGCAAGTAAATGAAAAAAGTTATGAAATTTCCATGGCTGAAACCCCAGGTTAAATATAACAAATTTCAGAAATATGAAAAGAAAAAATTAGTGCAATTTCCGGTGTCGGTGGTTATCCCTACACACAGCCGCGGATAATATGACTCACATACCCTTCAAGATAGAACTCGTCCAAGAACGGAGCATAGGACAATCCAGTATTTTCCCAATCAAATCGTATACATCCACTGCACAAAAATAAATAAATAACCCAAACTGCGAAGCTCCTCAAAAGTTATGACCGAATAAAGCTCCCATCAACCAATCGATACCTAACGAGTCGAATCGGTCATGAGGAGGTTGTAGGGCAGGTGGAGAGAGAGAGAGAGAGAGAGAGAGAGAGAAACATTAAAGTAAAGGAGAAAAAGGAGTAGCGTAAGGGAACAAACCTCGGAGGACGGAGGCGGCGGCCGAAGGGCGGAAAGGAAAACATTGGGGATCAACAGCAAATTTGTCGCTGGTTAAGGCGCGTCACGCGAGTCGAGGGTTTCTCCGTGTTAGAAGAAGATGGAAAGAAAAGAAATTCAAACAAGATTTCGGAAGAAGACCAAATTGAAAGCCTGCAATTCTTGGAAGAAACAGCGGCATTTTAAATCAACTCGTGAGGTTATAAATCCGAGCGAACGACACTAATGGCGGAGGCGCGGAGCTACCGAGAAAATGCGTCAGACGGGTTACCCAATCTAGTAGGCCTAAGGTTGTAAATGAAGCGATAGTCTCCACAAATTATTCATGCCTACATAAATAAATTTAAATAATATATTATTTAATTTATTTTTTAATCATGCATAACATTATTTTAAAAAATTTAATAAGTACTTTAAATAATTAAATTAAAACTCAATAATTTACAAATTGAAATTTTCACATGTCAAAAAAAAAAGTTTTGATCTGACATGATTCTCGAGGGAAGTTAAATAAAAAACTTTCAAAGTTATAAATTTGAGGCCATCCGAATTTGAATTTCGGAAAATGTAAAGTTGAATTGTACATCTCAATGAGACGAACCTAACAGCCCCAAGATCGATCAAATTGAAGCCGAGCCCAAATCAAGAGCTTCAAATATATTTGAAAGCTTCATGACATTAATTAAATGATCAAATGGTCTTCAAAATTGCAATGCAAATAGTCGAATTGAGCATATCAATGATACAAAATCAATGAGCCCAATCGCTTAATTATAACATCATTAAGATACTTAAAATTCATAAAATATATTCCATGATCAAGAGAATCAATATGTGACATCTGATGAAGCCCTCCGAATTTGCTCGAAACATTCTCCATATTATAGAGCATCCCATTCTCAAAATTTATAAAGAGACCCCCACTCTCTACATAAGGGGACCTTTGGAAGAGACTTAGACATTGGGCTAGAGATTCAATAGAGCTTTTATGCTTGAGAATCCTAGAGCTCCATCCAAGTACAACTACTGACGAATGCTTGCCGCTCAGCCACCTTCGTTAGACTTTCACTAGTCGATTACCTTCGGACGTCCACCAGTAAAATAAATTTGAAAAGAATTACCTATTTTTTAACCTCTAATTAATCTACCACGTCTACGAACCGCATTTCAATAAATAGGAACCAGCATAATCAAACTTTTTTTTTTCTTCAATTTGCAATTTCATTCATTATTTTAAAATTCATGTACAATAGTTGAAAATCAATTAATACATCATTTTATCTTTCTTTCCTCCTAACAATAAAAGAATAAAACAAAAGATAAAAATAAAATAAAACTTGAATTATAATCCTCCTCACTATATTGGATCATATCCCCTTCCTAAGTTAACATCTTAGCTTTTAAATCAGGTCAAAACAGGTTAAATTGAATACCAAATTTGGAAGTGTTATACCTCTGACCACCATTGCCTGACTATGATCCCACCAATCTCTGTCACCCAATTATATTTCCTCTAACCTTGATCGCTCGAATCAAGTCCCTTCGACCACCATCACCAACTACAGTCCCATCAATATTCATCACCCAACTACTGTCCCTTAGACCACCATCACTCTACTGCAATCCCCTAGACCAATACTGTTTGACTACTATCCCATGATCATCATTGTCCTAGTACGATCCCTCCGATTTCTATCGCACAATTATTGTCCTTAAGACCATAGTTGTCCGACTACAATTAGGGTTGCAAACGAACCGAGCCGAGTCAAGTATGTGAGTATTCATGTTTGTGTTCATTTAATATTAGGTTGTTCAAGTTTGGTTCAGGTTTGTTCGAGCTTTATTGTTTGTGCTCATGTTTAGTTCATTTAAATTAATAAGTGTTCATATTCGGTTCATGTTCAGTTCATGTTCGTTCGTTTAGTGCTTATCGAGCTTTAAACAAACAAACATAAACGAGCTCTATTTTTAGATATACATTAACTTAACAAATAAGCTTTATCGAGCTTCCTAACAAACGATTACATCGAGCATGTTCGCAAACATATCTAACGAATTTTTTTTTAACTATCAAACAAACACGTTCATGAACATATCTATGAACAAACACATTTATAATAATTATATCATTATATTATAATAAATATAAAATATTTATATATTAGAAGCTGCTATTAGGGAATCGTATGAGTTGGGTGACGTGAGATCATTGGGATATAATTAGCAACCAATGTCGAAGAACTGTATTTGGGTGTTGGGAGGTCTTTGGATGCCATCTTTGATGGAGTTGGGATGATACAGCCATTGCAAATGACATTTTGTATTCTTGGAATCTGCTGTGGATCATTTGTTGGGTCTATACGTTTTTGGTCATTAGGTGCCTTATAGAGTTATGTAATGGGGTGCGTTTGATGTTATTTGTGACCAGGAATTGTAGTTAGTGTTTAGTTATTGTTTTGGTGATTCTTTATTTTGTTTACGTTTTGTCTGTTTGTTTGGACGTGTTCGTTTAGTATTTGCTTTGTAGCGAGGGCTGGCAGCGAACCAAACGTTCGATCTAAACTGACTCATTGGTTCGCTTCGATTAAAGGCTCGTTCGTGATCGATTTAATTAACTAAACAATCAAACTTGAACAATTATTTTAAATACTCGATTCCTTAAACTAAACAAGCTGAACACTAATGGCGTTCGAGCTCATTTATGTTCGCAACAACATCCATTTGAAGTTCATGAACAAGCTCGACATTAAGCTCGTATTAAGAAACTCGATTCAAAGCTCGATTCGTGTTCGAATTTTGAACCGTGAAATAAGGTGATAAAAATAATTTTAATATTTGATTATGAATTA